CTCTCTCTCTCTCTCTCTCTCTCTCTCTCTCTCTCTCTCTCTCTCTCACTGCAGACCTGAGATGAATTTGCTGATAACACAACCGCTCAGTTCCCCGTTCTCATTTTGGATGAAACTTGTGGTGGTATACAGTACGTGGCCTTGTCTACTGCAGGGGTTGTTGGTGTGCGTGTGCATGCGTTTTTCCTGAGTCTGCACATTTTCAGCACCCAGGGAAAAAAATCAAAAAAATCACAGATCTAATGCAGCAGCTGGTTCGGCTGACGGAGTGTGTGTGTGTGTGTGTGTCCACGTTCAGACATTTTAAAAATGTGCATAAAACTTCATCAAGTACAGCATCTGCTCTCTTGACTTCCTAATTACCCCCAAACACCAAAACGCTTTCAGCATGTTCTGTGAATTCATCAGCTGGATAGAAAAAAGATGACTCAGCAGTGGCGGTAGTAGTACTGACTTCTTGTACTTACGTAAAACTAATGATACCACAATGAAAAGAAAACACAAACCATTACAAGTATTTGACAAGAAAACGTCAAGTAAAATGTACTTCAAATATAAAGAGTGCTCATTATGCAGATGGTCCCCTTCATATTATTGGAATATTACCGATTCATTGACATGTAATTCTAACAACTTGTTGGGTAATCTACTGGTTTGATCTATAACAACGCAAAATATATAAACTGATCATATGTTTTACATACAACATGTCAAACTGAAAAGTAAGTAGTAACTATTGCTGTAGTAGAGTAAAGAGTACAATATTTCACACTGAAATGTAGTGTATAAATGACCACATAATGGAAATAATCAAGTAAAATACAACTACCTCAAATTGTACTTGAGTAGAGTACTTGAGTAGTTACTTCAAAGCTGTTATCATACGTATGTGGAAGACTACCGATCTGCAAAAAGGTCTGCAACACTATTCCCTCTTTTTCAAACGACTTGTGAGAACATTCAGTATCATCGCGACATCGACAGAAGCTAACAGGAGAGAGGAGAGATCTGGCAGCCAAACAGACCCCTAAGCAGGACACTCCAATGAGGAAAAGGCCCCTGGGGCTCCTTGGGTGACACAAGAGATCCATACTGGAGCTGGCAGCCTTACAGGATCCACAGTCCAAGAGATGTGTTTGTACTGGTGCCATCGATAGCTACTTTGATCCTCTCTACAAGACTCTAACTCCTTGAAAGTAGCTTTTGTCATGAAAAGGCTGGAACATGGAAACAGACTAGAGATGAACGACTGTAACTGTGTTTGTTTGGAGAGCTGATGGCGCCTACGTGAGACCCGTCTGACCACCCAGTCGGACAGAGTCTGGCTTAAAAGTGAATAGGCGGCTTTCTGGGGATGGTTCATGCGAGTGAACATGAACAGCAGAATTGTAAACACCGATGACTGTGAAACTTGATAGTATTCATTGTTGATGGAGACATATTGTTGCATTATTTTACAGGAGGACTGGAAGGCATGAATGCATTAAAAAACCAAAAACAATTCAGATTGTCCTCGTGAAAACCATGAGAATGTCTCCACTAGCGGCAAGCCATGACATACTGTAACTACGCAGGTCAGCCCACTGAATTTAAGTATTTTTCCGATGAATTTGCACTCTCTATATTACAAAATGTAAACAGCTGGTGGAAGATTATAATGTGGTTATAGGAGAGCGGACCTGAAACCATGACAAGATGTGGGTGCAAATTGACCAGTCCAACACATTTGAGAGTTATGAAACGCACAGAGGGAACTTTTACTGGAAACTATGTTGAGCTTTGAATTGTGGTTGTTTCTTAGGTTAGGTTATCTATTATATAAATGTGTATTCACTAATCATAGGATAAAGTTTAAACTTCTTCACTATCTTAATTGGTTAGTACAATTATCAATGTACACACAGCAGTTAGTTAAAAATTCCATCCAAGCATGCAACAAGAGGCCAAAACTGCAAGAATACAAACTGCACAGAGACATGAACAAACAGTTGTCAGTGATTGCTGTGTCCCTGCTTTAAACGTGCAAACAGACTGAATAAAGAAGCAGCTTTTGTCTGATTAGTTGAAAAGCTGTCTGTGATGTTTTTTAAAAACGAAACTCGCTGGGTTCATTAGCAGCCAGATGTTGTATCGCAGGCAGTCCTCATTAGCTAGAATAACATGTGTACTGGAAGCCCGTTGTAACAACAACAGGTACAAGCAGCAAACGCTGAGAAGGGGGAGGAATTGATGCAAAGGTGCTACTATTAGCTCTTCTTGCGCTCATGTATTACGTCTTTGCACCTACACATGTCTGTGTATAATGTGCTGTATCAAAGGTAGAAGAAGTACTCAGATCTTGGACTTAAATAAAAGTAGAAATACCATCAATTTAAACTACTCTAGTACGAGTAAAGGCCCCGAGTTCAAAATGTTACTTAAGTAAAACTATAGTACAGTATTAGTAGCAACATGTACTTAAAGTATCAAAAGTAGAAGTACTGTTTAAGCAGAATGGGTCCTTTCACAATGTTATATTATTATAGATTGTAGTGCATTTTAATGTTGTAGTCCAAATCCAATTAGATTTTTTGTACTACCAGGTAGATTATTACTGCAATACTGCAATAGTACTGCATCATATCATATCAGCAACACATATTTTAAGGTAAAAAGTGTCAAACTTAAATTTAGTGGAGTGAAACATGCAATATTTGCCTCTTAAATGGAATGGATTAGAAGTATAAAGTAGCATAAATACTAAAGCACAGTACAAGCAAGTCACAATTGTACTTAGTACAGTAGTTCCACCACTGATATACTGTAAAACTGCATGGACATTCTTCAATGGATATATATATATATATATATATATATGCCTCAACATCCTCCCATAGTGGCACTGCAGGACAACACCTTTAAGTCGACCAGCTCTGGTTCAACAGGACTTACCTTTGTCCAGAGAAGCGTCCGGAGAGTGGAAGTCCATTAGACTGCTGATTTCAGTCTTGTAGCAGAGGTCAGTGGCCGACGGCTTCTGCCTCGGGTGGGAAGAGGGATCTGTGAGAGAAACAAATGACAAACTAGGTTAAGTTAACAGACAACATATGGAGGAATTTAGAAAGATAACCAAGAGTCCAAGCCTGTGTAACAAGATCATGTGAAAATACTACATCGTTTCAATAAGTACAAAGAGAAAGACATTCTGAAATATAACGCTCCCAGATAACCGTTGTTGGGATCTGGCAGGAGTGCGTTTGGATTATTAGCAAGTGTGAAGTCCCAACGCCGTTAATTTGTGTTTCTGTGTGTGAATTATGTTTGTTGACGCATGAAGAAGTGCAACTGGAGCTTTAAAATGTGTTTCTAACAATAATTGGAAATCACTATGGAGACAGTGATAGCAAAAAGGGAAAGAGCACAAAGGCCTGTGGACATCAAACTGCATGATAATGCTGCTGTAATGAAGTCATCATGAGAGTAGGTTTACCTCTCTGCAGAAGCAAAATGATTAATGCAGCACAACACATATCCCTTTCAATACACACCCAGAATGCATTACTCCTCACTCCTTAACATGCACTGACTCCACAGTGGCTGACCATTCATCGACACAGCTCCCGTCTCTGAGGAGAGCGTGAACACCCCGCTGTAGCAAAAGGTATACAAGCCGAAACACATGCGGGTGCACAAACACAGTCGCTACTTTAAGAAACTGAAACGTATAAATATTAGCATTTTTATGACCAAAGTGTGATTTGATTTCGGGTGAGGTTCAGTGGTTTCTAATGTGGTTCTGGCCAGCCTCACCAGTGGCACGTAGCGAATGCATATTGAATGCATTGCTCCAGGTCAACTCACATACAAAGTTTATGCTAAAATGACTTTGTCACTTCAACATTTGCAGTCCATTTCTGCCGTCCTCCCATCCCAGCTCTGCCCACAGACGCTTTTTTTCCCCCAAAGAAAAATTCACAAAAGGTCACAAGTGCCACTTCTTCAATAAAAGTAGTCACTGGCTGGCAAAAAAAAAAAATTTAAATTAGAATTCAAATATTGCTTTGCTCAAACACAGTTAAATTCACATTCCAGCAAACCACATCTGTTCAACCTCTGTTCCTCTCCTCTCTGCTGTCCTCATCCTCTTCCCACTCATTCTGCCATCAGTGTACCACTCAAGAACTACGACGCTGTTACTGGGTGAATTATTTGCATTTATGGAGCTCAAATGTGTCTGGTTGAAGAGCACTAAGGCCTCGGGGTGGTGCTGTCATTATGGTGAGATTAATCTTCTTGTCGAGACGGACTTCAGAGGGCTATTAATAACAGCCTGGCAGTCTGTCCACACCTAAAGTGATTTTAAGAGCGCATGAGGGCTGTTTTTAAAATGGTACATAACATTGTGCCATCCAACAGTAAATCTATAATTTTTCAAGCTTGCCCCTTTGGCACCAGGAACACAGTTTTTGAATAATGTTGAAATTCACAGTGCATACTTATCTGCTAGCTTCAAGCCGCCACTGCCCAATAGCCTCATGAAAATGTTTTATCTTCCCTGCATCCTGCCCTTGACAGGTCCTCAGCAACACTTATCGAGGGAAAAAGGGGGATGAGAGCGGTGGAATAAATGCAAAGGAATAAGTAAGCCACGATGGTTGCTTTTTGGGGGTGGAGAGGAAAAGCAGATATGGAGGCGAGCTGCAGAGTGAGCCCGGGTACGACTTGACATATTGTTTATCATATGATTAAGTAATGGTACTGTGTGTATGTGTGTAGTAATAGAATATTACGCAAAAGTCAATGTAACACGTTAACATAATAATTTATATTGTGGTATATAATGTATCATTGCCATGTCAATCATTGCCCGATATGAAGAATGTGGATATATAATAATGTGGAAACATTCATAGAGTCACCATTATGGAGAGACGGATGTTTTACTTTGTATATTAAGGATGTTAAATAATTTTTACACTGAAATCTTAAGACTGAGCATGAGAAGCAAGAAATCATCGTCACTTACTGAGCTGCAAATCATTTTTGAAAGACTTACAGAGAGATGTTAGAGGTCAGGCTGCTGTTCTTATTCTTGTTTCAGCTTATAGACCTTGCAGTGTGCAGTGATGCATATTTATGCAAGTGCACAGCAATGAAGTGGCTTTCTCTTTTTTTTTTGCTTCATTGAGTTATCAAGCAGGTAATTGTTACGTTTTCTGGGTCGCCTCTTGATCAATATCCTTTTCACCACACTGAATATTCAGGTCTGATAAGGTCCAACAGCCTCATATTGATCTTTTAGTCTTTATTTCTGCTCTCTCAAGTCAAAGAAACACTCCAGACAGTGACACACAGCGCAGACAGACAGACAGTGGGTGGGATAAAAAAGACCGGATGAGATATCAGAGTCTGGTAATATAGAGGAATTGTAGAAACAATCAAAAACAATATCTGGTGTTGCGTTGGCGCTCTGCATTGACTACCTGCTACACTGCACCTTGAATGACAGTGAAGCTTTCTATAAACCCCGTCGTATAAATCACGTTTGGGGTGAACGATTAAGGATTGGAGATAAGAGCATCATTTCCTCTCTCTGCTTCCATCCTCTCTCTGTTCTTTTCTCTTCTCCTCACACGGCGGCAGGAATATTATCTGACAAAGACACATGCTCACCTATCATCTCACCGCAAGTGTGGATGTCTGCCACACAGTTTCAGTTTGGCATAAAATTACAAGATAACCTAAAACAATGCATAAATTATACATGGTAATTAAAGCAAGAGATGGAAAGACCGTCCATCTTTTTTACTCATTTCATTCAAATTCCTGAAAACTGAACATCAGAACATCTTTTTTTAAGCTGTAACGACAACAGAAGGCTTGTGCGGAATAATTTGATGTTCTTTGATATCTCTTCTATCAGCTCTGTCCTTACTGTTTTCTCGCCTTAACTTGTATTTGGTATTTTGTTTAATATACACAAAAGCAGTGAAGGCATTGGTTGTAATAATCTTGCAAGATATATAGTGTTCACGAGAAAGCAATGAACTGAGCAGAAATGTTTCGTGTTTTTTTGATGAGAATTTATCACACTTTAAGGCTTGGTTCTATTTTCCTCACAATCAAACTTTTTCAAGTCACCTCATCAATAATAACCTGTTTAACCAGCCGAGCACACAGCTGAGGGAACAGGTACTTCTGCTGTGATGAAATAAATAATGATTTGGCCCAGAGACTAAAGCAACTGGCTTTGTAGTGATGTAATTATCCGGATCACCGTATCCCCACCAAACAGGGTCTACTTGCACTGGAATGAGTCTGTAAGACAGCTGCTCAAGACTAAAAACAGCTCCTTCCCTTAGTGAGGACCACAAATGAGAGAGCAGGAGGGTATGATGGCAGCTTTTTTTGCCCCGCCCTGGAGTGAGGCCATTCCGAACCACTTTTGGCTTTAAATGTTGTCGGACAACACAACATGCGACCTGGTTTGGTCTGAACTCGGAACCCATCGGGCAAATTATTGGGGACCTTTATAGAACTTTATTACTGATGAAGAACATCTTAACATAAAGCAAAAGACGAAAAGAGAACTGTACATTAATCTCTTCAGAGATATGGTCCCCCATAATACTATAAGCTCACATAGTTGGAGAGACATTTACTGGAAGAACTGTGTGAGGTTTTTCACACACATCGTTTGGTCTCGTTCCATCTTGCAACTTGTCTGGACTGATGTTCAAGTCCCCACATGGAGGCATATTAGGATTGGATATTGAGTTCACTTCTCTCTCTCTGCTTAGAAAACACATCTAAGGAACTGGATATTAGAGACAAATATTTACTAAACATCTAATGGTAGCAAGCAAGAAGCCAATGACAAGACGCCAGCTTCTTAAAGACTCATACAGGGTGTACAGTGAGAAGGAAAGTATTCAGACCCCTTTCAATTTTTCACTCTTTGTGTCATTGCAGCCATTTGCTCACCATTTCCAGGTGTGAAAAACTTGTTGCATCATTCCCAAGAAGACTCATGGCTGTACTAGCTCAAAAGGGTGCTTCTACTCAATACTGAGCAAAGGGTCTGAATACTTATGACCATGTGATGTTTCAGTTTTTCTTTTTTAATAAATTTGCAAAAATTTCTACATTTCTGTTGATTTTAGCAAATGGCTGCAATGAAACAAAGAGTGAAAAATTTAAAGGGGTCTGAATACTTTCCGTACCCACTGTGTATATATATATATATATATATATATATATATATATATATACACATCATATGGACATATACTGCATAATGCAGTAGGGAACATCTGATATTCACTTTAAGATTACAGAAAGAAAGGGGCGAAGAGAACTGGACTAAATGGGATACATTTAGTATCTGGCATTGAAACTATAGAAAATGCAATTGTGAAACATATATGAATGAATGAAAATGTGCCATTCTGTGACAAAACAACTCCTCGTGTTTATTGTGTTAAAAAAATGAATCTTGTGTTGCCTGCCTTGCCTATGAGGCCCTTAGTCTGAGGAGTATGTTGGAAGCACATACAGAGAGGATGTCAGTCTTGGTTAGAGCTAGACCATCACATCAGACAATATTAGCATATTGAAAATATATGAGGATCTATGCAAGTGCACGGCGATAAGTTATTTGAACAAATCCTAGATTGCATTAAAGAAATGCTGAACTAGGTTTGAGGTCATTTTGAAATGAGTCATATTCTTTTTTTTCACTGTGGATTATGGCCGTCTGATGCTAACCTTTACGATGTTAAACTAAAAGTTACATGGAGGACTCAGCCTTTGTCAACAAGGGCCCCCTGTTGTTCCTCTTCTCAGCGTGGATGCAGCACAGAATCCCTGTCAGTGGGAGATGCGTCTCCCAAAATAAACTACTCAAAATATAGGGAGACGAGCTCACGGAGTCTAAAGGAAAGATTTAGCTCAAACTACAGACTTCATTGTGCATTTTTTTTTTAACAACTCAGACACTTGCTCGAGGGGATCTATATATTCTGTAGTCGGTCAAAGGGTAATCCGTGAAGCCGAGGGAA